TTATGGTAATTGGCACCGACACTACGTATTGATTAGATCTTTCCTGTTTTCTGCTTTTTTATTAGGTTAACTGACTTGTGATATTACTTGCAAAGCACTACATTGTAGTACGTTACTGTATAAGATATAAGTTGTCTTTTATTTTCTAAGTACCAGGGGAACAATCCAGTAATTTAGAAACTCTTTTATCATATCTGTAATGAGCTTATCAGTCAAACGGGCCTGTCTGACAGCTCGTCTGCTGATTGTACCACCAGTCTCTTTCAATCATCATCACCTCCAAAAGAAAGTCAGAGAGAAGGTCTTGATAACCTAACAACTCCCATTCATACTCCGGAGATGATTCTTGTTAGCTGGGTATACGTCACTCTGAATTCTTCATCCAATTAGTCCCTGACATATGTCTGTGCAAGGTCATTGAAATTATGTCTATTTGTCTAAATATGAGAGTTGTATTTTTGTTATGCAACATTCCAAAAACTTTCACAAGCTCATTGATTTGAACTACTTTCAAAACCAAAGTCTTTTTCTGCCACAAATGATGGTTATAAGACATAGTCTGGAATTTTTTGGCATAAATGTCCCTCATGGAATTAAAGCCAGAGTGCAGATCTTGTACACATAGCTGAACGTCCATTACATTCAAGCCATTGCAAAACAAGTCTACACAATGTTGATTAAGCCTCTGCAGTATACCCGAGTTTTTAATCTTGTTTCTGACATTCCCGCACTGCTGCACCAGTGGTGAAGCATTAGATTGGTTTGCCAGAACTGAAGAGGGGAGCAACAAGCAATGTAGACAGACTCGACCACAGCAACTAGTAGTATGGCGGAGTCAATGCAGTTGAAACCTAGGAACGCTCGGAAAAAAAAAAAGTTTATAAAGCTCCGGATGAAAAAGAAACTGCAAAAGCAAACAAGAGAGAGGCATATATCATAAATGCGTGTCAACGGTGTTTGTGCAATTACTCTAGCTGCCAGAAGGGAGAGACAAAAGTTCCTAACTTCTGGTGTACATTTCAAAGACTTGTAAAATCTGAGAAATGGTGTTATGAAAACAAAGTTAGCTGACATCTAAAAATCAAACTGTAAAATAGAAAAGTTTGCTTTTCTTCCTTTGAACCCCAGACAACAAAGAAAAAAATGACCGCACTGTCCAAAATGCAGCATGTGCCCTGTCTCAAAGGGCCAATAAAGTGCTGCGTTTGTTCTCTTCTGGCGGTGAATGACTGAGAGATAGTAACAGAGAAAAGCAGTGTGATTACAGAGCAGCAAAGCAAGTCTCGGTCTCCCTTAAACCACACACACACACTCGGGCCCGTCAATCGGCAGTTGAAAAATGAGGCTCACCTTGAAACGACAGGGGACTCGATTCGCTGGAGCATTCAGTGCTCTGTTACCACTGCAAAGGCTTGCATGCACACTCATCTGCACACACATGGACATGGACACACATGGACCCACAAGGCCTCGCTGAGAGTGCCTGCACTGTAGACAATTCTTTAACAGCCCAGACCCACCAACTGGTAAATTAAACTCATTGCATGTATAAACAGATTTCATAAAAAGCTGCACACTGTCAAGAAACTCCCCGTGGTGTTTAAAGGCTGTTTGTGTGTGTGATTGTGTGCGTGGTGACAGATGCTTGAGCACACTCGCAGTGCGCATTGATTACCAGCGAGCAATGTGTGCAGCTTCTCAGATCTTTTCCTTACTTTCTTTTAATGTCTGCCTCTTTATGGATCTCTCTCCTCTGGTCTTCTCATTTTACTCTTTAATAAACTCTATCAGACGCATTTCGAGGTTTAAACTTACTGTAGGAAAATAAGTCTTTACATCTTTTCCTCTAACACGCATACATCACTTTAATCTTGTCTGTGATTCCTCTCCTTCATCTGCTCTCTCTCTCTCTCTCTCTCTCCCCTTCTCCCTCTACCACCTTTCAGCGCCTCCCCGTTCTTCCACCCCCCCTGTTCTCCTCTTTAGTTGCCTCCCCTTCATCCCCCTTGCTGACAGCGTTTCCTCCCCTTCTCCTCCCCGTTCATTTTGCACAGCCAGAGGTGCAATGTGGACGAGAGACTATGATTAAATATAGAGGCATGGGGAGGGGAGAGAGAAACACACAGCAAATCAAAGACAGCATGACAGAGATGGAAAGGGGGGTGGTTAGTGGAAAAGTGCAACAACAAACACAGGTAACAATGAAAGAGCGACGGGAGGATGTTTTGATCAAATAGGATTTTAAAGAGAAAGTCAGAGAGGGAGGAACAGACAACGTGTGTGTGTGTGTGTGTGTGTAGGTGTGTGTGTGTGTGCGTGTGTGTGTGTGTGTAAAAAGAAAGAGAGAAAGACAGAGTGAAAGAAAGGCTGAGACGGACAGGAGTGTGAAACAGATTTCTGAGGATATGGTGTCACTTTCTGCCTGGCAGCCTGCAGGTCAGAGGTGAAGAGTGTGTGTATTTGTGTGTACATGTACCTCTGAAGTCTCAGATACACACACAGGCACGCACGCACGCACGCACACACACACGCAACCATAGAGGACTGCAGGGAGGGAGCAAGAAAGGGGGAAATTTTGTAGCAGCAGGTGCTCTGCTGTCTGGTGCGTCTCCAGACGGAAAGACAAATGCTTGGAAATGGGCTGCAGTAAAATTACCTTCAATTGACTTAGTCTGAATCCCAAGGCAAACTGCTTGACAACTTATATACACAGTCAAACACACTCACACACCGGTACATATGCATGCACATCTGCAGTCCTAACTCTCTCCGTTGCACATAAAAAAAATAAAACACTCTTCTTGCTTTGCTTTTCCCTTCTGTCTGTTTCTCCCCAGAAAAAAATATCATCAGCAGCAGCAATTTCTCTTCCCAAGCAACACTTCTCAAACCTTTTCTAATTCACCGTCTGGCTGTGGCCAGAAAAGAAAACACCACATAAATCTGGAGGGATGTGTGAACTCTGGGTCACGTCCTCTGTGGTCCACTCCTGGACAATGATCACCCCAGTCAACGTGATAACTAATCACAAGCAGTGTTGGCTGTCAATTACGTGTGCCCTCTTGCTTGCTCAGAAGCAACGCTGCAGTCCTTGAGCCAAACTCACTGTCAAGATATTTATATAAATAGGAGCAATATGCCACCAAAGCTGCAATCCTTTGATCTATAGCGCCTTATGTAAAAACCTTACATTTCAAAGCACCACTATCAGTAAATCTCTCACGCCATACTGTTGAGCAATGAGTGCACAGCGCTGTGTGACACTTATTGTTCTCTTGGCTTCGTGTAGAAAGTTGCAGATGCAGGATGCAGAATGAAGTCTAAATTTAAACTGTTCCCAATTCTCTCCTGCAGCTCATGGGCAGGCCCACCAGCATAACAAAGCATATTCATTCAGGTTTAATATTTAATGGTCTTAAATGAAAACTGAAATTCCAAAGAGTCTGACAATATTAATTACACTTGCTGTCAGGGAAAAGAAAATAAAAGGGCGAAAATGTCAATTTCTAATCTACTCATGCTGTCAAAACAGCGTGGGACATCGGGCTTCGAAATGAGTCACTACGGGTCACGGCAGACCATTGGTATGAGTGATTGTGTGCACGACTGTGATTCTGAATACATATGAACTATTAGAGCAGCAGTCAGGCTCATCACATTCAGCCTGAGTTACCTGTCCACTGATGAGAACATATTTTTAATGACTGCAGGGCCGCTGCTGACAGGCAGACCTCTAAAACTTCTCGAAACCTTGAGCTGAAAGTGTTGCCAGTAATCTCACGAGTTCTTAGACTAATAGGTGAACGAAGTCATATTTTATTTATTTTGAAGCATATTGCACTGTTCCATTCTTGACCATGTACAACAAGCATCTGTGCTTTGATGTTGCACCAGCTGGCGTAAAATAAGCTCTTCCCTTTTCTCTTTGTATGTTGGAGTGTGTGAGTGCGAATGCCAGCTGGTTTACCATCACACACTCATCGCAATGTAGACCCAGCACTCAAGAAGATAAGAGAAAAAAAAAATATTGATGAATGCATAAAGACAATTTCAGTGTACAAACAAACACCTTGGACTGGTCTAATTTCATGGACAAATTATTTTGTTTACCAACCAGAATCCTGGCTTCATGTGCCACACTGTGTAATCACAATTGGACAGGTTTTGATTTATATGAAGGTGGTGAAATAGAAATTTGCTAAAATATCTGACCGAGAAGTACAACATGTACAAAATGGATTGACGCCTGAGTCACCCAACAAATGCACTGCACTTTCAATTACTCTCAAGAGCCAAATGTGTGTGATTACGTGATTCCATTATCTTAAATGAAAGCTAATTTTTAACCCGACAAATGTAGCTCCAGCCACTTTTCCCTGCTCTCCAATACAGTACAAATTGCATATGTATATTTAAATAACCCTCATTTACTCTCTTATCTGGGGCTTTTCTTTTTCTTTTTACTTTGATGTACCCTGCCAGTATTTGCTCCCGCAATGGCCCAATTTCCTGATAGGGAAAAAGCAAATATAATATCATGCCCCAATTTTATCAGCTAATCATAGTGTCATAGTGCAGCACTAAAGTACTCTGAGTCAAATCTCAGAAAACTGAACTAAGATCAAACAGCTCATTTTGTTCCCCTCCCAATCAATCCAAAAAAAATTAAATAAGCATAAGAATACATAAATAGATAAGGTTTAACATAATTTAATCGTGCAATAAAATTAAATTTACTGCCTCAGAACAGCCAAAGAAAAAATAAAACATCTGATAACACTGACTTCCACGCCTGGCTACGCCACTGAAAAACACAGTAAGACAGACCAATGTTGCAGTTTATCACGCTGCTGGACAGATTTCCAAACTGCTTCCATGATAAATGCCAACACATGATGTATCATCAGTTTACATACTGCCGTGGGAGGCAGACATAACGTCACTTTAAATGTGTCATACTGTCTCATCTTGTAATAAAAGTCCGCAACAACATCTGTAGTCTTAAATTTTTAAAATCTATTGACAAGCTGGTGAGCAGCATGTGCAACTTGCAACAGTATGGAGGCACATGCTGTTACCCTTAAGATATTTCTAGTCTATATGTTTCTTCACCTTGGAGAGAAAGAAGGTTTTGGCATTTTAGCTCCCACCGACCTGTTGGTGTAATAAGAAGTAGATAGACTTCTATTGATCTGGTCAGTGTGTGCATTCAGTCGAGGTCAAAGCTTTTATACGGTGCTTTACGTGCCTAATGTCTGTGTCTTCTTGTCAGTCCAACCATTTATTGCCTGTTTTCTGTCCTTTCTTCTGTTGTTTCTCTCATTCATTGCCTCTCTCTCTTTCTTTCTCTTTCCAGAACAAATCAACAATGTCCAGAGAAGTCATCCAAGTCATCATCTGCAGGCAGCTGGCCACAAACTGAGAAAAGCTTTGACTGCAATGTCCAAGTGGAAGTAGATAAACTAGTGAGGAGGTCATTAATGGAGGAGCGTTGACAGTTTATAGCCTTATTGGACATTGAATTCCTATCTGCTACTTCCACAGACAAACTCTTTCACGCTGCTCCCCAAACACACAAATTCATTTGGGTAAACAAAAGCTGGAACGATTACGGCTTTCTGTTGGATATAATCTTGCTGACGCTGGCTGATGTCACTGCTTGCCTCCATCCCCTTCAGCTCCTCTGGGGGCTGAGCCAACCTGCAGAGGAGCATGGGCAGAAGGGTGGCTGACCCAACCAATCCGGTGCCTGCACTGGGAGTTCCCCTGGCGGGGGGGCGATGGGGCCCACTGTGCAGTGTCGGGGTGCAGACATCTCCCAGACTGCGGACTCTCCCCTCCATCAAACGACACAGCAGTCAACCAACCAACACACATCGGCCGCTCACCATGGCAACAGACAAAACAACGGCAGTGGAGACAGGGGGAGTTATCAGAAGTGACAGCAATAGTCTGCCGGTGTCCAAGGAGACATCTCAGAACGAGATCAACAGCCTGACACAGGACGACATGGGGTCACAGGGGTCAGGCAGTGGAGTTTACTGCCAGATCAAAACCATACGGACAAACCCCAACGACGCAAGAGGTAAAAGGACAGCTCGGTATACAAATGGCAGCGTGGTAGCCTCGGATGTGGTGGGAGGGGTTTGCAGCGAGGCCACAGAGGGGAAGGAGCCGGCCCAAGAGAGGAGGCGGGTTCAGTCCTTACGAGGTGAGGGTCATCGCTCAGTGTTAAAGACGGGCAGTGTTTGTACGACTGTGCACGCCACCCCGCCTCGGCCGTGTCGAATAATGGCGACGTCCCCACCTCGACTTTGTGGAACATGTGGGAGGAGACGATCGCAGATGACACCGTGCACAGGTGCATGTCGCAGGAGGGCAGTCAATCAAATAACAGCGAGCCAGACTTTACCTAATCCGCCACGGAAACCATCTGTAGCGACAAACCCATCCAGAAAAGGCTCCGCTGCCCTGAACTCTCACAGCAAAAACACAGACACAGCCAACACACAACAGCACACATCAGTAAAGACCTCTCAAATACCACAGCTGTCACACACTATACCGAAAACACACAGTTCACATTCGAACCACACGGCGCACACTCAGAACAAAGCAAGAGACTCAAAGCAGCCGACAAGGCCACATTCTGCAGACTTCAGTCATTACAAGGACTCAGCCACGCAAACAACGGACACACACAACAACTCAGATAGGACCACTGCTAGCACACATTCACAACAAACTCACACACCAACTGCAGAGGTGACAGAACCACATTCAGCTGACAAACACAGTCGTGATCTGGCTCATACCCAGCACGCTGATGAACCTGCACACTCATCAGTCAACTCAAAGCCTCCAACTCCTTCCTCTCACAGTGACTTAAAATCTAGCAGCACGCCACCTCTTCCACCCAAAAACTCCCCTAAATCCACTCTTTCCAAACCAGCCACACCTGTAGCGCAAACCAAAAACCAGGAGACCACAGATATTTCCAAACAATCCTCAGAACGGATCAAACTCAAGGACTACCCGAAACAGAAGAGCAAATCATTCGACGACCACACCCTGCCTTGTAAGACTCATCTGAAAGCACAATGTAACGGGGCTCCGGGAGGGCTGCTAGACGGACACGCAGTGAATGCACCACGTGGGCTGGAGAGGCAGCTGCAGAGTGTGGAGGAGAACCTACTATCCAATCAGGAGAAGATCAAGGTGCTTCTCAACGTGATTCAAGACCTGGAGAAGAGCAAGGCCTTCAGCGAAGGGTGAGAGAAAAAGACTGAGGGAGGAGAAAATAGGAGATGGGGGTAATGGTAAAAGGTTAGAAGAAAGGGAGACTGAAGTGTGAAATGAAGGAGCTCAGATCCCAATACAGAGAGTAAAAAGAGCGAGAGGTGACGAAAAGGATGAAAACAGAGATGGAGAGAAAAGATAAGAGAGGTAAAACCAAGTGCTTAAGCAAGAGTGAGCTGGAGTGATAAAGAGAACAAAGACGGGGAGACGAGAGAGTGTCAAGGGAGTCCACAAGTCTGAGAGGAGAGTGTATTTGAGTTTTTATACAGTCATTTATACTGACAGGCATTCCAAGTCTGTGTAATTGATTTTTAAATGTCAGGCCTGTGCACATGTGTGATCCAGTCCTGTGGGGATAAGTGAGACCTGACAGCCTACAGTCCTTACGTCTGCTTAGTCTTTTTTTTTATCTTATATGCCTTTTTGAATATAAAGTCCCAAAGAGACACTGTACTTCCCAGCACAGCAAACGAATCAAACTACTCCTTCTCTCTCCTAATCTAATTACTTTATTCTTAATTTCACCTCTGATGCTACATATCCTTTGCTTCTCTCCTCTTCTTACTTCAGAGCCAGTTCTCACTTTAATTTCATTGTCCTCCCCCCAGTCTTTCTTCACCGCTTTTTAACCTGCTTCAAGCGATTCGTCCCCATCTCCACCTCCACTCTCATACCTTTTCTTTGCTCCATTCTTAATTAATACCTTTTTCTCTCCCCCTATCTTTCTTTCTGCACCTCCACGTATGAATCATGCCTGCAACTAACAACTGTGAATCACTCCACTGCCCTCTTGCCATTATTTTTCTTTTATTCTCTCCTTCTCTCTGCCCCGACAACCCGTCTATCAGTCTTCTCTGCTGTCATATGTTTACTGTCACTGTTTTGTTTTCTCCTCTGACTGCCCATCATCCTTCATCTCTTCCCTATCTTCCTTCCCTTCACTGTTTCACCTTTACAGAAGAAAATATTCACACGTCCTTTATTTAAGTAAAAGTGCTAATGCCACACTGTAAAAGAACTCTGTTACAAGTAAAAATTCTGCTTTGTAAACGCCACTAAAGCAAACATATGCAAGTGTTATCACAAAAAAAGTATAGAAGTCACAGGAAAACGTGCCTGTGACTATAATACTGTTATAATTATATCATTAGATTATTTTGACTCATGTATTCATTCAAAAGCAGCATTTTAGTTCCACTGGATTGAACTCATTTCGTACTATCAATTGATTTATTGTTTGGTTAGTAAAAAAAAAATCCTGAAAATATTAAAAATGCTTATCCAAATACTACTCTCAACACAATTCCAATTTAAGCAAGCAGCTGATTAATCAACTAAATGTTCCCACTGTATTTGTATTAACTGCGGGGTAGTTTAATATACAGCAAAGCAAGATATTTTACAAGTTCTTTATGTTTTGGTGCAAAAATCTAAATGTATATACTAGAAACTAAAGCTGTCAGATAAATGTAATGACGCAGAAAGTACAATATTTATCTCTGGGTTGGATAAGAAATTGAAGGTGGCATGAAATGAAAAGACGCAAGTGAAGTGCAAGTACCTCAAATTTACACTGAAGTGCAGCACTTGAGTAAATTACTTTATTACATTCCACCACTGCTTTACGGTGAAAACGTCTTCTCTCTGAGTTTAGAAGCATTTCTTCCTTCACACCCTAAATTTCCACCCCTCTCACTCACTTGCCCCTCTCGTTTCTTTTTTTTCCACCTCCCAGTCATCCTAAAACCGACAAAGACTCTACATCACCACCTAAACTCCTTCGCTGCGCGTTTCTACTCCCTCTCATCCCTCCTTCTATCTGTCCAGGGTTAACAGATGTCTCTAGCTGCAGACTAATCCCTATCAGATTACCTTACAATTAATGTTTAAGCTTCGCAATAAGACTCCTAAAGTCAGTGCACAAGCTGTCCTGCCCTGTCGTTGGACTGTATAATATCCTGCATTCATGCTTCTGGGGGGTGTTCATATGCTTGTAGTGAGGATGATTATGTCTCATGCTAAGTGTGTGAAGAAAACAGGCAGACAGAGGGGAGAGGGTAAGAAAAAAAGAGAGGGCAATTGAATGATAGAGCGGCATAAAACGAGTAAGAACCAGCAAGTAAGAGGGACTGCATGTACGTGAAGCTGTGCCAGAAATGAAAGTACTTTAAGTGGGCCGCTGTGATAAAAGTGTCGGCTGAGCTAAAAGGTTGTCGCTGTGCTCAGCTCCTTGTTGCCTTTTCTCTCCTGAAGCAAATACTTGTCATCTGCAGCTGTTGTTGTCTTTGATGAAGACTGTTTGGGGAGAAAAAATAATGCCAGTTACACGGTCTCTCGCCATGTAATTAAAATGTCTATTTCATCAATATAAATCTCTTATTCTTTTATCGAAGGAGTTCAGTCAAAGGCCAGCCAAGATATCTTGGCAACATTAAGTGTTTTAATTACACAGCAGCCAGCATGAGCTTGACAGTTTTGTTTAGTTTTTTTTTTTCTTTCAAACATTCAGCACCGTCTTTAGTTGTGTTGGCTTGTTCAACCTTGATAGCACAGTTGGCATTTGTAATCATATTTTTGTAATTCCAAGCAATCTTCAACACAGCAGCCTTCTAGAATGAAAGACAATAAGATCACATTCAGTGAACCTGCTGCTAATAATATTTGTGTCCTGTATTGTTTGGCTCCCAACTAGATCTACCTAGACAGTCGCTGCAAACACTGCTTTTGCCTGCCTGGAATCGTAATCAGGCAGGTTTTCACCCACTGGGACAATTCAGGCAATGTCCTGGAGAGTTCTATTGGGGTACTGCGTATACACTACACATCACAAACTATTTTGTGCCCTTTGAAGCCCCCAGAGAACACGTCTGATGCTGCTGCATTTAGTTTGCGTTGGTAGAGAGAGCAAAAACAATTGTGACATCAGCAGTCAAGACAGTGAGACTCTTTCCAGTCATAATATGCGAGGCCTTTTGTCAGTGCAAAACAATTCTTTTCCTGTTACATCAGCGTATATGTGATGAATCGTTAAGCATGCATAACAAACAGTACATGTATGTGCAAATACAATTTAGTTGAAATAGGAAACAGTATTTGTAGCATCAGACATGTGGTTACTATCAGCATGCACAGCTTTGTTCTATTAAACTAATTTTGCAAATGTGTGTGAATGTTTTACATCTGTTGTTTCTGCAGTCGCAGCTCATACAGAACTGGTCAGGACATAAACAACTGTCCCACCTGCCAAAAGACAGCCTGCATCATCTACAGGTAACCTGATTAAGATAATGAGCTTACTGTATTACATAACCCACTGTTGCCAACTCATTCTTACCTGAAGCGTAACAAACAGCCCTGAAACTTCTTCCCAGACAACTGTATTCCTATTGTAAACATGAAAATGTTCCAATCCCTATTGTCCTATTGCTTCCCGCCCCCCCAACATATCCAGGTTTTATCACTTATTCAGCACATCTTGTTTGATTTTTATTTGCATTATCCTTTCTTCCTGAAACCCTGCTGCCTCTGCCCTTTTCTCCCACCCTGATAATTGTACAACAATATATCCCTATTATATGAAAAATGCAAGACTAAGAGTCACCCCCTCATCAATATTGAAATGAATACATGCTGTATTCCACAGATTAGAAGAGGATGCTCTATCCAGGAAAGTTATTTACACATAAAAGAATATTCTGTGCAAACAAGCAAATTAATTCAGCACCTAAATGATCCGTCTTTCCTGTTCCAGTCGTCCCCTGTGCGAGTGACCTAAATAAGTAATTGCATTCTTAGATCCGTCTCAACTTACAGAGCTGCACCATCACAATCTGATACCGCATACTGCAGTTTAATCCTCCCGTCACAATCCTTTTCACATTTTTTCATTATGTAAATAATTCCATCTTTCCATCCCATGCCTGCACAATCTCTGTCATCTCTGATTTTCAATCAAACTGGTTTCCTCTGTACATTTATGTCTCTTTCAGTCTCTCAATTGCCAAAGGTACAGTCACCTGTGCCCCAGCATCTAAAAGTCTACGCTGCTCACATGAGCTGGAAATGTAGGTTGGATAACACTAAAAGCAAAAAATGTTTACAGACCAAAGCTAGGCTTGAAGCTAATTGTAGTCGTTCACAATCACATACAAATCTCGCTTGCAGGCCTCAGAGGATAAAAGACACTTTTTTGTAGGGCCTTTGACTATCTAGTTCTCTTTAAATCTCAAACCCACTCGCCTCAAAGCAGCCCCACCTCTGCACCTCTCTTGTGCTTTTACTTTCTATCCCTCGGTCGCTTCATCAACTCCCTCGTTCCCCTCTTCTCATTCTTTTTCTCCCTTGATCTTAATTAACACAGCAGGATCCTTATCCCAGTAAGTAATAATGAGAACCAAGGGGATAGGACTTCTGCATGGCAACATGCTCATATCCATATACACATGTGAAACATATACAAACCTTCCCCCATTTTGTGCAGTGGTATGAATGCACATATTCACAAACACAGTGCAATTCAGTGGAATACAGTATTACATCTGGTTAGACCTGAGACTCAGCAGCTTAATCACTTGGTCAGTAAACAATACATTTTTTAGCAGCTAATCTGAGGGTCATGTAAGTGCTTTTTGTAAGCAAAAGTGCCAAAAATTCACTTGTTCCAGCCTCTCAAACATGAGGATTTGCTGTGGAGTATTTTTAGGTATTTGGACTGTATTCAACTTCAGCTGTGCAGAACAGTGAGTGCCATTTTAGAATTGGCAGATTAATTCATAATGCAAATTATTGTTAGTGACAGCACTGTAACCTGCATTACACAACATTTCACTTAAGCAGGCGACCTTAAATGCACACAAAAAACATTAACCGGGTAATTTTAATCTGCACTTCCAGAGGCATTTTCACACGGACCAAAAACGTTGATGAATTTGATGGAGCTGAACTTTAAGAAAAATTGAGGGGGGGAAAAAAGCTTTTAAAAGCCACTGAATGCCTTTAAACTACAGTTTAGTCATGTAAGAATTTAAATAAGAAGACATTGCTGTTTACAGAACATTAAGCGTTATTATATTCTGACTTTATAAATGCACCTTTGTAGTAGATTGATCATGCTGTGTAAAGACACCAGTTATTACATGTAATATTGATAATTAATGTCCTTGAAATTGGGTTTGAGTTTGGTTTTACATATATTGGAGGACCTGAGGCAGTTACTAGCTTGTTACTTCTCATACCATTATAGTCCTTGACATTTTCTGCTTTCTTCAAACATGCTCACAAGCTAATTAATCCAGCAAAAAGGAAATCAGCTTTCATTAGGTACATCTGTGCATGAATTTCATATGCACACTTGCATGCACAACCTCATACATTCTGACAAACAAATAAATGAATATATTTCACGCCATGTGATGGATGATAATGACTTGGACAGAAATGCAGAATCTGCCTCCTAATCGTTTTCCGTCTCATATGTCAATTTCTTACAAATACAGAAAATCACATTTTCAGTGGTGTTATTGTGACAAACACACACAGGAGTCGTCGAAGTAAAAGAGCTCCATTTATTTGATTGGACAGTAACGGCTATATCAAAATCCCAGAGGATTCTGGGTAAAGAGGAGGGGAGATAGGAAAAGGAGACACACAAGCAGGGGGATGAATTACGCGTGGGACTGAAACATCCATCCTAATGATTTGTGGTGAAAAAAAGAGGTTTCGACGTGGGCTGGCTGCCTGAAGATGTTTTGCCATTGTCAGCTCTAATTAATCTTTATGTTGAGAGACAAGGGGGAGCGGAACTTTTGACAGCCCTTATGTTTTTCTCCCAAAGCCTAAACAGCTCAAACACGCATACTGAAACATATGCTGGCATGTATACACACCTAGCATCTGAAGGCATTCTCTCACTTTCTTCTCCTCATACATACATCCTGTTGATAGACATTCATGAATTGTAACACATCCATACACGCACCAACTGTCTGCTTCATGTTAACCCACGACAAGAACACACAGTCATGCACGCACTGGCAGGGATACTGTAGGTGACAGCTTGCAGAAGGAATTAAAAGCAGCAGCTTTTCCCACTGTGCCATAATCTCGAGAACAATGGTGAGAGAGGTAGTTACCAATGATGGAGACAAGGGAAGGTTGGAACTTAAAAGAGTCATGAGAAAGAAAATCCTCCCATCCCAAAACAGGACAGACTGTGAATTGAGTGGATGTGGGACAGGTGCAGCACTTTATCCCTCTTATATGTAAGTTGTGTGTTTGTGAACAATCTGTCTATGTAGTCTGGGTGCATCTTTTTGATCATTTATTCATTGCAGCCATCTCCATTCGTCTATGCCCACCAAAGCTTTTATTTCCTCGTCCATTCCCTCCATCCCTCTTTCCTGAGGAGCCAATACCTTTCTGCCCTCCCCTCTCCATATCTCTGTTGGCACTCATCCTGTCCTCCTGTCCTGTCTTTTTTTTTTTTTTGTTTCCCTCCTTCATTCTGCATTGACCTCCCTGCCAGGTTTTTATTAAAGGTGGCCTTTCTTTAATTTAGCCATCCTTCCGTCTCCCAAAAGTTTCCTTCCTTCCGTACGTCCCCGTATGTTCTCACTCGACTGTGGCCTTGTTGTGGAAGATGTACAGGTTGGACGGTGGTGGGGGGGCTCATTTCGTGTTTGCATTGTGTGTGTGTTTATGAGTGTACGTCTGTTGGGATATAGGAGGAGGAGGGGGAGGATGGGTAGTTATCTCTGCTCTCCTTGTCTCATCATGTGCCTCATTAACTCCAGATGCCAGGCCCTATGCAGCCCCACCCCTATAATCCAACTCAACACACAAACACACACACATACACACACACATACTGTCACACACAAACACACAGTTACCCAAAAAAGAAGAGAGAAACTCAAAGTCTACCACACTATGACCTGCAGCGATGGACACTTCAGAGAGATGGTGAGAAAGAGAGCGCACGAGAGATGAGAAGGGGGGGAGGGGGAATGAGAGCATAGAAAAAGAAAAGCCAAGAGGGTCTGCTTTGAACATATCAGAGGAGCAAAAAAGTTCCTCCCTTACTCCTTCCTTTAGCTCCTCCATTGTGCAAATGCTCCTCTCCTTCCCTACTCCCTTTTTCATTCTCCTCCCACTCCTCTCATCTCGCCAGCCTGTGATGTACTGGTGCATAAAGTATAGAAGAATACTATGGACGTGAAAAGGGTGCTGAGTTGAGCGCTGTGTGAAAGTATGAGTGTGACTGTGTGCTGAAGGTGCACATTTCTAATTTAAGAACACAACATGACTTTAAATCTCCATATAAAACTGCATTGTGCGTAGATAAAAACCTCTCTTTGAGGTGTTGTCAGCATTTTGTGACTTGATTTTCATGTTATTAGGACTCCTTCGCTCACCTTTCTCTCAACCCCTCTCTTTCTAATCTCTCTTTCCGCTCAGCAGACTTTCATTTGTCCTTACATCTCTCTCACCTCCTCTCTTTCTACCCCGCACATTTAATATCTTTCTGTGAGAAATGAGCTACATAAATAAATATGACTTGATTTTACACAACTTCAACCTCTAAATCATGCTCCTGCTGATTTTCCCTTATATTTGTCTTCTTCCCCTTCCACTGCTCTTTCATTCTCCCTCCTCTACAGTGTGGAGCATGATTTTCGGCAGCAGGAGGGACGCTTCCAGGGGGTTATGGAGGCCCTTGAGGGGGAATATGATGTGCCTGCATCGACTCTGACCAAGCCCACGCCAGCTCCTTCTTCCTCCAGTCGTCCCAGCACCAAGGCACGTGTCAAGAAACTGCGCAAGAAGTGTTTCTGGTGGCTCTAAGCTTTGCATAAGCCACAATAGCCTCTCTTGGTGACAAGTGCATACAGGTGTGGATTATATTTCAGGGGACCCAAAATGTTCAAGAGTAAAGCATCTCATGTGGGTGCACAGCGTGCTTAGTGTTACTAAATTCAGAGGGTCCATTTTTCCGAGCGGCATCCCAGTATATGGCACATTTTCCACCACAACCCATCCTGAGCTCTGATAAAATATACTGGTGAGCAGGTAGAAAGAAAGGAAACGCACTAAGGAAAGAAAAGAGGACCAAAGGAGCTGCTGATTTTTTTTCTCAGAGCCACCCGGGAGGGAGTCTGAGAAAGATCATCCCTTTTCTTTCTCTGTGGGAGCCAGTCTTTGGCGATAAAATTGTGATCAGCTTTTGACTGAAAGTGAGGACATTGTGTTTCCAGAACAAATCTGTAACAGGCAGATGAAGCGTTGACACTTTGGATATCAGACAGGTGTACTGTTCACTTGGCTCAGTTGCTGTCTAGACAGATGGACAGATGTGTGAGCTGGAAGTGAACCTTCACAGCAATTCTGGCTTCATTACAGCAATAAGCAGGGGAACCTTGATCGAATCTTCCTTGAAAATCCAAGGAATTTAACAACAAATTGGAATACTGTGTCTCTGGATGGCTTAACAGCTGAAATATGAATGTAGCAACAGCTGGAGCACAAGAGGGATATTGGTGGAAAAACAAGCTGATGAGCTTCTGGAAACATGGAGATTGCTCACTCGATCATCAGAATTTTGGAGAGCAAAGTGGAGATTGTACTTAGACTACATTAAGAGACAATGTGATAGGCAGCTGATGAAAGACTGACAGTCTGTGTCAGACAATTAAGAATTCTGTCAATGCTGACTGACAGAGTGATTGATTCTCTCCTTTATTACCGTCCAAAATGGAAATGTTTCGCTGTAAGCTCAATCTTGTTTCAAGGATTTTCACACAAACGTGCAAACAAATACGTGCACAAAGAGGCATACACTTGCAGGCACTGCTTTACACATATAGTAGACTCACTGAAACACAAGCAACCACCATAACCCACATGCAAACATGCTTATAGTACACATTCAGTACATTTGTGAACCAGTGCAAACTAGGGGTAGACCATTCTTAGTTCACGGTTGATTGGCCTGTATTAATGTTGTATGAATATATAATAATATTTGTAAAATCTGAGCCAATAAGGCACCAATGGTTTCTGTATGAATAACGGTAAAACTAGCTTTTAATGTCTGGAGGTTTTCCTGATCTAACCATCGCACAACTAGTGCTGAAGAAATCTCTGTTGACATGTTACAATGTGAAGAGCTTCACAGTGACAACACACAGTAAACAGAAAAACCAAAAAAGTCCAGTCTTCTTTGGTATTAACGATAGCAAGCATCCTTTTGTTCACAATAAATATACCAGAGGCAATCATTTTTCCATATCCTATGAGCTTGCTCTGTAGCATTCGGACCATACTGCCACTGCTAATTGGTGAATTGAGCTACAATTGAACAGGATTTGCGCTGAAAACATACACTTCAGGTTGAAACACAGTGTCGAAATGTAGAAAATTCAATAGACGTCACAGCTCAAGGTTCATTATCCCATGTAAAAGTGAAATTTCAATCAATACACACCATCCTTGAAAAAAAAAAAACACAATTAGTAGAGGAAAATAGCCTTTTATAACAAGCTACATCCTGGCAAACATGGCTGTTATCAAAAATCATAACTCAAATCTGTAAAAGAATTGGTATGGGTCTATCCCTTTTGCAAATGCACACCCAGACCATTATTTTTGCACATACAGACACAGCATTTACATAATGCTTCACTGATGGCAGTTCAGAGTGTAAACACTAATCTCACGAGGGCTCACTTCAGCTGCTTCTGGCTCACAAGTTGACACCAATTAGAATCCTGGATGACACCACCACACTTACTAATTAACCAATCTATATCCAAAAAAGCCCCATCCCTGTATTTTTATATGCTGTCCCTTAACAGTGTGTGAGCTCCCACAATGCCCCTCTCTTCCTGATCTTCCTCTTGTATGTGCAATAAAAATGTGTATTTTAAACAAAATATGCTGTTGTCAACATACTTTGTGTTTAGGATGAAACTAAATGGCAGACAGGAGTAGACTGAGCTTTTTTACTTTTAATAACACTGTATTAGCAGCTCAATGATGTTGAAGACACAAGACAGACTCGTGCACTTAAATAGAGTTCAACATTAGGTTGTATGTACTCACAATCAGAGCATGTTCTTGACCCATCGTGATGACTGTCCGGTTTATGATTCTCAGCAGCGACACCACAATGTCCTGGATGTGTTGAAATGTTTCCCCCTGGGAGAAACATAGTGTACAGAAGTATGGTGCAGGAGGAGAAAGAGAATAAGAGATAAAGAGGAAGATAAAGAGGAAAAAAACAAGATAAACAAGAGATTGTTAGTTTTTCTCAGGCGTACTTAAACTCACAAAACACAGACAGATTCAGAACAGCTCCTGCCCTGTTCAAACAGCGTCCACTCAGGAATAACTTTTGGCGCTGGTTCCAGAAATGTCTCAGAACTTTTCCTCTACAAAAACTTAAGACTCATCGGGTTTTATTTGTGCACTTGCTTTGCCCTCGTGTGAACTGTCCTCTGTGTGAAGACGACCAACTTTGCACAATCTTAAAAGCTTGACTTTGGTTCTAAATGAATGGCGGATCAAACGATACAAGAAAGAGAATAAAGTTTTCTGAATCTGAAGTTTTTCACTTCTCAGAAAATGAGCCTCTCCAGAACATTCACTCAATCATCCTCAGCGTGGACATATATTAGCTGCAAAAGGTTTTTGACACATGAATGTGGATTTTCTGTGCAGACCAGCTTTCCTATTCCTATACCCTCATCCCTTCTGAAGCTGCTTTTCTGCCATGTTTCATTTCCTCCATTTGTGCCGAAGGAAACAAAGGGGACAAGATGTTATTAATAGTCTTTGTGCTCAGACTCAGGCCAGATTACTGTTTCATGGTTCGCGAGAGTCTGCAGGTTTGAAGAAACAAACATAAATCTGAAACATTAAGCTGATTTTAGTTATATCAGAATGCTATGTCATGTGTACTGCCTTCAGGGGGTGTTCATACTTGAGCACATTTAGTGCATTTAACCATGGCTGGACTTGCAGTGTACGCTCTGCTAGTCAGTCTCACTGAGTTTCATCTGAGTAGGTGCTTGCTACCTTTCATTTCATACTCCATTTAAATCCATTTAATTCGAAGCCAAGAGGTGACGATGCCCTTTACCCCGATACGATTTCAAAAAATGCTTGAAAAATGTTTAACAGCGCACTTTTATACAGTATTCACTAAATTGAAATACCGAACTCTCTTCCAGTAATTAGATTTTTTTAACTAGGTGATATGGATCTTCTATCAAACTAATTTAATAGCTTAATAGAGTTTTCAAATAATTCAATTGAGGCCAAAAATCATATTTAAAACTCATAGTAAAAATGTAGATATGTTAAACCAAACACATCAGTATTATTGAATGACTACACCGTATATTGTGGAAATGCTTTAGGCAACACTGTGGACATAAATTTATATATGAATATGACGACCCACTAATAGACTAGACAATTTACTGCTTTTTTTTTTTTTTTTTTTTTTTTTTTTTAACCAATCCTTTTGAGTTAGAGCACTCAAATAAATCAGAATAACCGTATCCCATCAGTCGTCAAGACTCGCAAAAGACGGTTCAGATTTATCTCTATATTAACCAATTTCAGATGATGGAAACTCTTTTATCACAACATTAATGACAACTATTCTACTAGCAATATTGTATATAAAATAAATAAATACTGGAAGGTGACTTAAGGACAAAAATAGAAGTTCATCTATGTTTTGTGGCCTGTGAAGACTGCAAGTGAAGAGAAATGTGGGCTAAATAATGACAGACATAGGACATAGTACAAAGGCCTGTCTCAAAAGCACACACGCATGTGTAAAATATGTTACATCACAGAGGCGAGGCATGGCATGTGCAATGGAAAAAACACAGACCCACACACACACACACACACTATGCTGCAGTAAAGCCGGTCAATGGAAGCTGACTCAGATTTGCCTGGGGATAGTAACTCACTACTGAAGCATCTGCTATGCTACATCCAAACACACCTTAGCACAAATGCTGCAGGGTGCATCTGTGTGTGTGTTTGTGTACAACCTTGTTAGTGTAATCTGACCTAAATATATGGACGTGTGTCCTTGTGTGAGCTGATCAGCAATGCATAAAAAGAAAAGACTGAAGGTCCAAAAATAACAGAAGTAGGTAAAAAGGACTCAAGTTTAAAGTTTTTACCACGTCTCCTCTTCCCATCTGTGTGCATGTGTGTGTGTGTGTGTATGTGTGTGTGTGTGTGTGTATGTGTGTGTGTGTGTGTGTGTGTGCGCTGGCCTGACAGCAGATGATTTGAAGGGTCTGATGAGAATCAGGTAGATATGATTAAACCACATTAAATACACTGACTCACAGCCACAGGACACAGACAAAATAAACTACTGAGAAAGCGTGTGCGTGTCATTCTGTATACCATTTCCATCTCAGACCACCTCACACTCACAAGTTAGGTTGAGGCGCAGCTGTTGATCCTAAATAAGCTTAAATCTTTCTGGCTCACTGCAGGTATTTTGGTCTCCTGGAAAGAGTTTCTCAGGCAGCCGTCTCAGAGCAGTAAGAACAAGAGATGAGAGACACAGTGCTTTCTCTCTCTCTCTCCCAAAGTTTACACTCTGTTCATTTATTCCATGCTGTAGCCAGCCCGGTTTATCATCTCTATGAGCAACGTGATATAAACAAGAAAAACAAAAACATTGTTGTGGGGGCTATGGGAGAGCTCCGGCAAGCCATGTGTTTCTGTCTTTCTCTGTTAGTATCCTCACTTTATCACACACATGCCCACAACAGCTCACACACACACCCACCCACAAGAGTAACAGAGTTACTTATAAATTCAACAGAAACTCTCCCGCAGACATGAGCATCTGCCTATCGCATCATCTTCTATCTCTGTTTCTCTTTCTGAATCGCTCTCTCTCTCTCTCTCTCTCTCTCTCTCTCTCTGGTTTGGAGACATCTGTGGTGTGACAATTTAATCAGGTACCACCCAGAGCGAGGAAAAGAGAAGGGTGAAAAACAAAGGAGGGAGGGTGCAGACAACAAGAGGTGGAGGAGAGGAGGCGACATCGTCTCCTATCACCTGTTCTTCCGCTACTTCTGCTGTTCCTTCTCCTTGTGACTGGTTTCTCTCTCCTCCTCTTCCTCCTGCTATTGCCTTATTGCAAAATCCCTCCACCATATTATCTATGAAATAAACATTCTTGCCTCTGTCTGTTTAGCTGTTAACTCGGGTTCTGCTTTCCCATGCAGCTTTTTCCTCCTATTTGCATAGCCATGAGCGATGTTTGTTTCTCTGGCCTTTCCTGCTCTTGTTCATTTGTCCTGGGGCCATTTTAAAAATGAATCCAACCTAGTTTGCTTTTTCATCCACATGGCTAATCTGTGTGTGTGTTTGTGTGCGCATTCCTGTAAATAATACTTTAATCTACAGTTTGACGCCTATATGCCGTCCAATTGCAGACGTTTTTTTTCCCTCGTTTAGTTTGACAGAAAAACTCTACGAGGCTGTGCGTCACTGGCTTCATGGTCTGTGCATAATTGTGTTTGCACCCGTCATGTTCACTTGACACTCTGTCCCCACCTGCTTTTGTTTTTACAGTATATCTCAACCAATACAAATTCATCCAATCAAATCCCCTCCACTGCACATTCATCAATTCGCTCCCTTCCTGCTCCATCCTTTCACTGTCTTCTCTGGGCTCATGCTTCATTAGTGCATTCAAATAAATAGAGCTGAAAAAAAAAGCCATACCTTCACTTCAAAGACTCAGCAGGTTGTCAACAACTTGCAGAAGCAATTAAAAAGCCCTCAGCTGGATGCTAGTGATGCATTTGTTGTGTGCGCTTGTGTGTTCAGTTCAAAAGCCAACTGGATTCTGTTTCAACAGACTAACATTCAGCAACATGCGTGAAACAAAATCAATTAGATTCTAATTGGTCAAGGCCTGCTTCATTGCACGACTGGATGACTGAAGACAACACAGCTTAAGGCTATCTCCTCTTTGGAAGACAAATTCCGCTGGGTTGGTGCAGAGCTCAGGGGAAGATCAAATTCATCCAGTGATGAGGAGGATCAAATGAAGAAGATAAAGGAAATGTCTTCTAATTCGTGGGCTGGATAATCTTTACACTCACATTTCCCTGAAAAAACTGTTAACTGGTCTATCTCAACTGCGACCACCTACGGCAGTGTTTATTATGTTGGTGAGCTTAATATTTCATTTTATTTTATACCATTTTGATCTTTTTATGTTTGCAGATTGTTACTACAATAACTGTTCTTAGTGTTGCAGCTGCTCGCTCCTGGGATCAGGCTGAGTCACTTGAGCTGCGTCTCAAGTGACCACTTGGTATGTGATTTTGTTTCCCATTAAGTTTTGATTGTATCTGTGAGAAAATGGAACTGCAAATGGAAGGAACACACATTTCTTCCATACAGCTGCTGCTGCTGGAAACTGTAGATGATGATTTGCACACTGGCTAAAATGAAACAGAAACACTCAAAAGTAATTACAAGGAAAGATAAGGAAAGGTAACATGAGAATGTATGGAGTGAAGACAAAAAAGACTCAGCTGTGGTAAATGCAGTGACACGAAACAAGTGTGATCGAAGATCTCCTGTATAGATGTTACCACTACACCTCATAAATTAACTGTAACCACATAATCATATCCACAAGTGATCCAAAAGGACAGATCTTAATATGTACATACTGGATGTAGTCACACTATGGTTTATTATGACAGGTAGATACTTTACTGATGAAATGAAATGAAATGAAAAATACTTTACTTATCCCAGAAGGGAAATTCAATATTTGATCCTTTGCAATAAGTTACACGAGTTATGATCCAAGTCAAGAACGCACATCTAACACTAAATATAAAACATTCACAGCCAGAGACCTGTTTACAGAAGCACCAAAATGCACTGAAGACTTTGTATGAGGCATTAAAATAATACTTGTGCAAGGTATAAAGTATAGAAAATATGCAGCCTTCAAACATCTTAGAAATCTATAATGTTAAAAAAAAAAAAAAAATCCAATGTGCAAAAATTCACTTACATGTCTAAAACCTCAATATATCATGAAATAAGAAGTATAACCGTATGGTATATAAATGGTTGCTGTGTATCTCACCACGTTGTCCCTGCTGAGGACCTCCAGAATGTTGTTGAGCAGCTCCAAGCTATTTCTTCTCTCATCATGAGGCCCATCAGCCATACTGGCCAGCGCCCCGCTAAGCTCCCGCAGCATCATGGGTAGCAACACGTCACGGCACTCTGCGGAAACAAAAGCATGCATGGTAAAAGACTGCAGGTTTAATAAGCACATGCGCAATAGTAGGCAAAGGTTAAGACTGAGAGCGCCATAATATTCCAATACAGTTTCTACATCCTCACAGTCTGCTAGCTATGCGTATCTGAATCAGATGTTTGTACACAGCCTGGCTCAGGAAATGGGGAGCAAACAAAGTGGCTTGGACCAATCCACTCAACACCGTTTAAAAGCATGTCTTCATGTCTTGTGCACGTTGGTTCTTATGAATGCTACCTGGCTAAGCCTCAACAACCTTACTCCAGAATCGCACACTCTACCTTTAACTAAAGAGAGAAAAAAAAAAGACATTTGGAAAAACTGCGTAGCGTGAGATAATTTTTTTTATTTTTTTGTTAGTTCTTTGGGTCTTAAGAAGTTTAGAAACAAACATCAAAAGTATGGCACAGCATCGTGATTCACTTTAATGTTATTCCTCTTTGAGAATCCCTTCAAACCCTAAACCCGAGCCTTTACATCAAATTGGTGCAGCACCTGTGGAGACAGCTGCACCCACACAGTTATGAGTAATGATGCCACTGGACCCTGAAGAAGAAATTCAAATCTAACCCCAGACTGCACAATGGAGTGATATCAATCAAGTGTCTATTTACAGTTCAATGCATGTCAGCTGCTCTGTCAGATAGACAGTCAACACATCAATCACCAAGGCCAAACGCTTCTTCTTTCCTTTCTCTCTGATTAATCCAAAACTGTATTTAATTCATGAGTTTATTTTGTCATACATGCAATACATCATCAGTAATTATGTGAGCAAAAAAGTTGTCAAAATGAAAAATGATTGAGAAAACAAGTACATTATTGTTACAATATACATAATTGAAGCTACTGCATATGAACTAACTTTATATTTTATGTTATCCACATCTGTCCTTAGGCACTCTGTAAATCTCGAGAGAATGTTAAATGTTCACAGCTCTTTTTTGGGGGGCTTTTCCAAAGTCAATCTGGGACTTATAGAAAACCACAGAAGTCGCAAAAGTACTCTAATGGAAAGTGAAGTAAAAGGAGATGTGAGTAAATTAATGGATGTGCATTATATGAGAGCCTTTGGCACCTTTCACAAAGCAGGATCATTTTCTGAACTCTTCTAATATTCAAAGGTGGATTTTTTTTTTTTTTTTGGGTGCATTTTGAGGAGCTGTGTCGTACTCATGAAGAAACCTCACATTCTTTGCCATTTGATGTTTTAATGGGGTGATTTGACCAAGAATGTTGTGACAGATATTAAAATGATGGATTATTAACTCACTCTACCCATAAATTTGCAACTAACTACTACAATATGCTCACATCTGCTGTCAGGGGCACTCATTTTCCACAACATCTAGTCATATTTTAGCTTCTGTAATATTTGGCTGAATTTCCTACACTTTAAATTAAAATGGTCACCTTTAACACCTTAAAATTCTGTGCTTTGTCTTCTGAAACACAGATCCCCACTAATACCTTGCGGTAATTGTGCTCGAAAAGCAGACTAGCTTGCAGACTTTCCGCCTCTGCTGCGAGGTGAGAGCACAGAGTTATACGTAGAGGAATGATGTGTTTATGTGCTGTTGTGTAGCGAAAACTGTCCTCCAGTCTGAGGTCAGCAAAATAACTCAATCAAAACTCCGGCATGTTTTTATGACACCTACATCTGGTAAGTGTTTATATTATTGTCTGAGCTTCTTAACATCGCAGCTTCTGAGCAGAATGCTGTGAGGCAGCTGAATGGAAGAAGACCTTCACTTCTCCACACAAAGGATTTACAGGTCATGCCGCGATTGTATCTCTAATGAAACTCCAAAATTGAGTGACTTCGACAATAACAGTGCGGACACTTGTTTCATTATGATGCATTAGCTATGTTGAGCAAATTTCAAGTGGCTGTGAGTTGATTTTGATAGCATACTGAAATTAATTGAAACCAATGATCCCCTAGAAGGTAAGAAAAATTACCCTGCCGCTTGCATTAATTATGAACCGTCGGCCCAAAATGTAAGCTGGAAGCATAAAGGATTTACTGGCCTGACTGCTGCTAGAAACTTCTGAAATGGTCTCTTAGTTACATCCAACTATAAAGTCCATATGTATTTTTTTTTTTTTTTTTAAGTCAGCAAAGCAACCTATTAGACATAATGCCTTTTGACTGTCAATAGGTATGTACAAAAGTACTATTCAGTATTTTTAAATTAAGAAATCTATTTTTGCTAATACTGTACTTTTACTAATGCTGAATTAATTCATTTTCATTTTTCATCCTTTGTATATATTGTACATATTATTATTATTATTGTTATTATTATGTATCTGTATATGTTTAGTGCTGCTGTGTGATTTTTTAAAATGTTGTTGCTGTAACAATGTAGCTTCCCCTGGTGTGGGGAGAAATAAAGGATTATCTTATTGTATCTTATCTGTCATTGCAATGGGTTTCAACATTAACTGATCCTTCCTATTTTTGCCACTTGAGTACCTTGACCTCCCCCTTTCCTGTCTTCTTCTTCTTCTTTCTCCATCTTTCTGCCTGCTATCTCCTCCGCTCCATCCCTCCCTTCCTAGCCGCAGGTAGACAGAGCCCATTAAAAGCTCATTTGGGCTGATGCTCGTTAGTTCCATTATTAACTGAGCCAAGGCTGTACGCCTGCTGAGTGGACCCTCGTCACAACAGTCACTCTATCACACAAACATGAAGGCAGGAAGGAGGGGATCAGAGAGAGAGACAAGGGGAAATGCATGAGTCACTGAATGTCCTTAATGACTCGGAAACGAAGGGAGGAGTAGGAGGAGGAGACGGAGGAGGGGCCTGGACAGGTGGAGCAGATCCAACGAGATGATGAGGAGGTCTGAATACTGGGAAAGATTAAATAACAAACTAAAGCAGTATCTTAGTACCATTCATCGACAAAAATAGAAGTGCAGCTTGTAATAGTTTATAAAATCCTATCCATTCTTCTAAACATGAGGGGATAAATAATAGTGCGTCTACAACAGAATGAGCTTCATGAAACAACCAAGTAATGACAATATTGGAAATGACAATGGGCAGACTGACAGTGAAGTCATAGAAGAAGCATCACAAGTCACACATCTGAGAAGCAGGGAGTTAATGATAACCGATGATGGACCCACTCCTCCTGAAGAGCTTGGTGAAGTTAGAAGATACTTTGGAAGAACAGAATCATGCACATGTCCATCCAGAGCAGCATGTGGCAGATTGTCTGTCTGACTTTACCCTTACTGACATACCAGCAACCACAAACCCACAGCCTGGTCTTGACATTTTCTTGTCGTCTGTTCAGTTGTGTTTTTTGTACAAAGTTGGAATTGTAAAGTGACATCTTGTCAAAGAAATGTCTGGGTGCTGGTCATGCTGTCTGATCATTGTCTTTTAAAGCCACACCTGACCAAAATAAACTGGCAGAGAAATTGTCACCAGTTTAGCAACTTTTTGTGCAATATTTGTTAATTTTAACAATAGAAATAAGATTTTATTTTTCTCAACGTCAGAATAGAAGACCACTTGCACACCGCATTTATACTTCTGGTTGGTGTGTTTATTATTATGTAAAGGATAAAATTTCAAATAAAAATGTTTTTCTGTCAGCATTAAAGAACATCAAACAGTGAGGCCTCCTGGTTTGTGCCCTTTAGAGAGATAGAGAATGGTGTTTTAGATGCTGCCAGCATTAAGTAGAAACCCTGCTAAATCTGTTTAATCCATCAAAGCAGAAACTCATCATCTTTTGTCCTTTCAGATAGAGAAAACAATGGGTTGTGTGTTGTAGCAGTATTGTTGTGTGTGCAAGCTTGAGAATTAATCCATCTGCCTTCTGGGCTGAATGTACCATTAAAACCTGTGGACCCGTGAACTCCATTCCCTGGTGAAATAACCACAAAACCACCTGCTTCTTTATTTATATTGATTTTACAGTTGATATTTTTGGGTGCAACATGTTCACAGAAGAGAACATGAAATAACAAGAAGGTTTGGGGGGGGGGGTTAAAAGGGTAACCTGTGCTATAATACAATCAGGTTTTGGTTTTTTTTATTGCTGCGACAAAGGCCAGGCATAATGAAAAACTAACTAATCTTGCAAGTTTTCAGCTGCACCCTGATCCACTGCTAATGTGCAGGAAGATGGAACAATCAATTAACTGACTAACTTGCATTAGCGCTTGCATACTGCAAATTAGATAGTTTGTCAAATCTAAAATAAACGAACAATAATGCATGCAAATACTTCACAGGCTTGACGGGCAGCGTTTAGGGTTTCAAATGCACGTTACAAGCTGCAGATTGTGCACATGCTTTTTGTGAAAATCGTAAAGGTCTTAGGTTATGCATAATCTCCGTCGCTTTCTCTGTTTATCCTCTCAGCCAGAACACAAAGCAAATATTATTTGGAAAGAAATGAGTTTGAGAAACAAAAAGTGCATAACAGCAAGAGTTTGGGCAATATAAAAAAATAAAAAACAGAACTGGAATGTTAGTTCTTATGTAATTGTAATGTTCCCTTTCAAAATAGAAGGGTAGCGGGGTGGGGCAGCAGGAATTCTTAGACATGGCGACACCGGTTAACCTGTCTACGGGGTTCACTGACACTACAAGCCTCTCTGATTGACCAATTTCAACTGTGATGAAGACAAACAACCACAGTCTCCAGCCTAAGCCTTGAGAATACTTTCTGTACAACCTGTGCTGAGTTTGTGCATGCACAGTGAAGTACTTTCAGTTAAGTCAGCAGCTGCTTCCCATCTTAAAATTCACAAAACTAGTACACTTCAGGCACCCTAATGGCTCATCTCCGGCATCCTTTGACGGATTGTGTATTGTCTCTTTTGATTGTACTGCTTTTCTTTCAAATCACGTCTCGCGCTCCTAAATATGAGCATCAAAAATGAAGTACAGGCTGCCTTGATAATGTTCCTCCAGACTCTGTGGTGGATAGCCTTCAATCAC